AACATGTGTTGAATCACACAGATAACAAGGTGACTGCTGCGTATATAAACCAGCAGGGGGTATGCGCTCAGCCCAGATGTTACACATTGCGCGAAAGCTACTGTGTTGGGCTCACCAAAATCTGCTCTCCATCAGAGCAGTTTACATACCCGATGTTCTGAACAAAGTGGCAGATGTGATGTCCAGGGGAGGCCCACGTCACGGGGACTGGACTCTCCATCTAGACCTGATGACTCAGACGTGGCAGAAATTTGGCAAAACAGCTGTGGACCTGTTTGCGACACGAGAGAACGCTCAGTGTCAACTATGTTTTTCCCTGAGCCCGCGAGACGAACCACCGCTGGGGGTGGATGTGTTTGCCCACAGCCCATGGCCCAAAACGCTTCTGTACGCGTTTCCTCCACCTCCTCTGATTTTACGGTTCCTGAACCGAGTTCAGGAGGAGGAATTGACAGCTCTCCAGGTGGCCCCTGAGCGCGTGAACGCACCATGGTTCCCAGTCCTGCAACGTCTACTGTCGGGGGCACCCGTGGAAACTGCCGTCGAGGGAGGATGCTCTCCTCCAGGCAGGAGGAGCGATCAGGAGTTACCCAGAAATAGGCCAGCACCTGTGGGTCTGGCCGCTGAGCGTTTCCGCTTAGAGAGGATGGGTCTCCCACAGGATGTAGTGTACATATTCACGTGCTGCATCTACCACAGCGCTGTACGCATCAAAGTGGACAGTTTTTCAGCGCTGGTGTACAGAGAAAGGTGTAGAGGCCACCTCATGTCCATTAGGCAGCATGCTGTCTTTTCTACACAGCTGATGGACAGGAAGTTGGCTTTCAGCACGATTAAAACGTACGCTGCAGGCATCTCTTCCTGCCACGAAGGGTTCGGAAACAGAACAGCTTTTAATCACCCGCTGATGAAGCGTTTTCTAAAGGCGTACAGAGACGCAGTCCTGTTTCACGCCCACTTGTTCCACAGTGGGATTTAACGTTGGTCCTTCGAGCCCTGATCAAGCTCCATTTGAGCCTATGGATCAGGTTCCACTTAAATTCTTGTCTCTTAAAACAGCCCTGCTGCTGGCTTTAACATCCGCTAAGAGGGTGAGTGATTTATCTGCCCTCGCTGTCACTCCGTCATGTCTTAGAATTCAGGCTGACGGTAGCTCAGCTGATTTAAGACCAAACCCAGCTTTTATGCCTAAAAACATCACAAGCTCTTTTAAATGAAGAGCGATATCGTTGGAGGGGTTTTTCCCTCCCCCCCACAGATCAGAAGAAGAAGCATCTTTCCATCTTCTCTGTCCGGTGCGGGCGTTGATGTGTTTCACAGCTGCAATACGCCAAACGCAACATTTGTTTGTGCATTATAGAGATGCACCTGCAGGTCGCCCGTTATCCACCCAGCGCTTGTCACACTGGTTGTGTGAGGCCTCTTTCTGAAGCCTACAGAGCATCAGTTTTAGAGCCTCCTGTCAACCTCAGGGCGCACTCGACCAGGGGTATCGCATCTTCGACTGCCTTGCATATGGTATGACAATGCAGGACATTTGCACTGCGGCCGCGTGGTCAACACCCTGCTCATTCATTCGCTCTTATCTACGTGACGGCCGTTCCATGACACATTCTGTCCTTAGTGCTCTAACAGAATGAATATTGTTGTTTTCATGAAACTCTGTTTAAGCTCACATCTGTCTGCATGCTTCATAGTGTGAGATGTGTTATCAGTCACAAGTTGTGTCTGTTATTTTGGTTCTATTGTCACTAATCAGTTCATGACTATTGTTACCAATCAGTTCATTTGATTAATAATCAGTTCATTTGTTATTATTAATCTGTCTATACTGTTCAGCCATGAATGCATAGTTACACAACATGCGTCTGTGCATGGCTCACATAATTACGCAATGCGTAATTACGCACATGGGGAGCTGAGTGACAAGACGTTTTTTGGGCAAGCTTCTGCTTCATACGGTGTTCGAATGGACCCAGTGAGGCGAGGACAACATCTGCTTCGCCCTTAACCCACCAAGCGACAGCCTTAAAGGGCGAAGCTTATATGAAATAGAATGTTGGTTACGTACTATAACCCCAGATTCTATGAGTATAAGCGTAGCCCTTTAAGCGTCGGGCCTCACTGGCTCCTAAATGGCTGAAGAAAAAGCTATTTTGGGAGCCGATTTCCCGCTGTTAACGTAATTTATACGGACTGGGTAGGGCCCACACAGCAGGTGGGCGTGGACTAAATTTTTTCAGTGCAATGCTACGCATAACGGGATAAACCCACCAAGCGACAGCCTTAAAGGGCTACGCTTATACTCATAGAATCTGGGGTTACAGTACGTAACCAACGTTTTCTAAAACTGATAGTGTTTGGTCATTAATTATGATGAAGTTTAGCAACTTCTCGGTAAACATTTGAGCTCCGTGGTTTCAGCGACGTCTACTTCTTGTTCAATCCAAGCAAGCAGCCTGATTTGGGGCAGCCGTGCTCAGTCTGTCCCTCCTTGGAGACGGGCAGACTGAGCAGGGCAGATTGGACGCGGCTGGCCGGTGTCGAGTCGCCTCTTTCGGTTTGACCAAAGAGTAGTGCCCCGCTGAAGCCACGGAGCTCGAATGTCCATCGTAAAACTAACTTTAACGTGGTTTAATGTGGCGCTATGGCTCTGTAGACATTGCACAATGCTGTCTTGTGGTGTTTTTAGTATAAAATACTTCCACACAGCGGACATGTTTAGATGAAAAGGTTGTTAGCTGTTAGCCACAGTGCTGCTAACTCAGTCCTCATGTTGTAGCTGGCTGCAAACTATGAACTGGATTTCCTGAATGTGAGGCGGGTCTTATTACTCTGGGTTCATGAGACACGCCGCCGTTCAGGAAATCCATTCCATAGTTTGAAGCCAACATGCATCATGGATCGGAAATATCAGCAGGTGGATCGGAAAATCCGATACGTAAATTTTGCTGGTATCGGAGGCCGATACCGATACTGGATCGGATCTGCCCCATCCCTAATTAGAATTCCTAAATCTTAACCCTCCCAAATTACTAAGGTTTACCGGACACTCATTAAAATAGATTAATCGAGAAGGAGTTCTCTGCAGGCCAAAAGTGGGCGTTTCTGGCAAATAGGCGTTTGTGTGTGTGTGTGGGGGGGGACACTGATTGGCTAGCTGTATTTGCTGCTCTTCAGTTAAGTTATGTCAACTCTTTTTTTTAAACTGAAGGTTTCTAAGAAACAGCGTTATATCTGCTGTCAAACACAAGAAGATTCTCTTTAGTTCTTGGGTTGTAGGCTGCACCTGACACCGGTTGCCTTGAGTGTGTTCTGGGTACAATGAAATATGAAGCATCTGAAGCAAAACCTGCTCCCATTTGTCAAAAAGTCTGGTCTCAAATAAATATCATGTCCTGTAACGAGATAATGGCCCAAAACAAACGCTAAAAACTAAATTTTCTCTTTAGAAGTGCTCTTCTATGAGATCTGATCTATGAAAGGAGCTGAAACATGGAGTAGGATTGATCCTTAAAAATGTGAGACAGCTGAGGAAGTTAACTTGCTCCAGTTGCAGAAATCTTACAGAAACTGACAATCACTCATCTGCAGTGACTGCAGGTTGAACAAGAAAATGTGAAGTTAAAGGAAACATCCTTTGTCCCAAGGCCAGTATCATTAATATTTTGGTTACTTTATTTTTCTTTCTTTATGAATCGATTGTAACCATTTTCACATTTTTCAACAACCAAAATGGATTTTGTTTTTTTAATGTTATGGCTAGGTATTAAAAAAAAAAAACATTTAGCCCTCCCCACTACCCAGTTATATTGCTCTTATTTTGAAATGTAACCAGAAGTTCTGTGTTAAGAGAGGCGTAAAAAGAAGTTATGGAGACGCCACCAATGTTGAACCTGAGACGCTGCTAATGTTGAACCGGTTAACAACATATCGGCCAATAACGCCTTGTTTTTAGACATTTTTTTGTTCAGCCTTTTTTTCTATCGTCCAATCAGATGTGGCCGACCAGACATGCCCATTTTTCTATCGTCCAATCAGATGTGACCCGCTAGACAAGTTTATTTTCCTATAGTCCAATCAGATATGACCCCCCCCCCCCCGGATACGCCTTGTCCAATCAGATGTGGCCCCCCAGATACGCCTTTCGAAATTGCCTGCATTGATACCTACTTGGATTAATCAATATCCCTTCCCACTGTAAAATGGGAGGCAATGGATCATTAGCACACTGATGGCTGTTTACTATTCACAGGGGGTTGAGTGATACTAGCAATAACAGCAGTGTAAGAGGGGGACAGTTGAACCCGGAGGCCGCTGTTATTGCTAGTATCACTCAACCCCCTGTGAATAGTAAACAGTCATCAGTGTGCTAATGACCCATTGTTAGGCTGATGGTCCTTCTTGACCATGTGAGCAGCTGGTTTTGGTTGTCAGCAGCAAACTGGTTGATCCACTCTGAGAAGGTGCTATTTAAGAGACTGAGCTGAATACAGCACCTCAGACTGAGGAAGTCTCTCGGATGAGACGAAACGTTTCTATATTTTTTTGCTTTTCTGAATGTCCAGAGGACCAGACTGAACTTTTTGGGGGTTTTCTACCTGGATTATTGAGCATGCATCAGGACAATACAAAATCCTTCGTATTACACAGGTCAACGGATGTTCAGGATGGGTTTTGCATCATCTAATGTTTGCTCACAGTGTACAGACAATATTCCTGACAATTACATTCACGCATTTTGGTTCTGTCCACGTGTTCAGAGATTTTGGTGCCAGATATGTGAAGACTTATCAAAGTGTCTTGAGATGTAATATTCCACTCTCTCCATCAGTTTGCTTATTGGGCCACTTAGATGATGTCACCTTGGAGGCAAAGTCAATTCACGATTTTTACTGCTTTATGTATAGCAAAAAAAAATAATAAAAAACTATACTCATGAATTGGAAAAATAAAAATACTTAGTATTAAACAGTATACTGTAAAGACCTTTTGTTGGATTACATCAGTCTTGAGACAGCCTGCACCTCCATATCAGACCAATCTCTCTGGGCTTCTTTGATGAGCTCCAACACATAGTGGAGGTGGGTAAACTCCTTTGATTTCGTCCCGTGGGGCATCGTTGTTGACTGGGGGGGGGGGGGGGTATCGGTGCTGGGGGCACGCAGGGGTCGTGGGCCCGAGGAAATGGCGCTCACCTGGGGAGGTGGCTTTGGTGGTTCTGGGTGTTAACCTCTGCTGGCTGCATGCAGGCTTCTGGGCGGTCTGTACCGTGGGCGCAGGTTACTGGCCTGGTGGCCTGGCTGCTCCTGGGTGGGTTTGGGGTGAGTGCGGGTTCGGGGTTCTGGGGGAGTGTCGCTCCTGGGGCGGGGTCCCGGCTTGGCCAGGGGATCTTGGGTCTTGGCGGGTATGTTGTCGGGGTCTTGGGCCGGTGCATGCTGGCCTGGGGTTCCTTGGTGCGCTGGTGGGCTTTGGGTCCTCTGCCATGGGGGGGGGGGGGGGGGGGATACTGTTGGGGGGAGGGGGGATGGGCCATGGGAGGGGACAGGTGGATTGAGCCTGGCTGTGGCTGCGGTCTGGTGCTTGGTTGGGGGTCTGGGCTGTGGGGCGTGTATTGGGGGCTCTTGCTTGGGTGGCTCTGCACTGCTGGCCCGGGGGTGTCTGGGCGTGTTAGGCATGTGCCCTCCCTTGCATGGAGTACTCTCACTCTCATTGTGGGTGTTGCTGTGGTGGACTGGTCGGTCCCTTTGTGGGGGTTGGGGTGTGCTCTCGGTTGTCATGGTGTGCTATCTGCGGCTGTTCAGGCACTCCTGGCTGATTATCGCTGCTGGAGTTTGGTGACTTCTTTGGTCGGGGGGCTGGGTGTTGAGCTGGGGATCGGGTTGGGGGGTCTGGATGATCTTGGGGTGGGGAAGGGAGGATTGGGTCACTGGCCCGGGTTCTGGTCGGACCTTGGGGCTATGTACTGGTCTGTGGCCTGGGTCCATGGTGGTGCGGCTGCCTCCTGCTCCTGGATGGATGAACTGGAGCCTCCCTCCCCTTGTGGATGTCTGAGAATGGGGGTGCCTATTGGGGTCAGTGGGGGAGCTGGCCCCCTGGGAGGGCATTGTCACCTCAGATGTTCCTCCCCATCACGACATCTTCCTCTGCCCACTCCATCACACCACCACTCAAGCAGGGCCTTGATGCACTACTGAGCTGCGGGGAAGATCCTCCATCTCCATGGTTTGTGGAGACCTGGGCCCCAATTTTATTAAACAACCTAGACACTCGCATATAACATTCTCACGACATATGTGTATATAGGGTCTGGAGTGGGCACAAGGTGGCATATAGGTGGTGGGATGTGTAATTATTCTCACCTCTGGGACCTGTGCACACTCTCATATGTAGCATGTAGATATTTAGGGTTCTGGGCAAGGGTTGGGAAGGTGAATGGGCACTGCCTGCTCTCTGGGGAGGGGGTGGGTCTGTGCCAGTCCCCGCCTCATCCCCCCCCCTCATTTTAAATGCACTATATAACAACATGCATCAACATCTTATTTGAGTGGGAGGAGGGAGGAGTTGGGTCTTCCTGTTTTCCTTAAACCCTCGTTCTCCGTTTGACATTTGGGGTTGGGGGCAGGGAGGGCGGTAGGCTGCCTGGTTGGGGTCTGGGCTGTGGGTGGGTGTTGGACCTTGGGGGGCGATTGGGGGTGGGGCCGGTGCTCTGGTTCTCCCTGGGTTGTTTGGATCTTTTGATCAGGGTTCTTGGTTGCGATGGCCGACCCTTTGGTTTGGGTGGCTGCCGGGTTCTGGCGGGGGTTCGGCTGTGGTTGTGCGTTTGTGGTCGTTGGTGGTGCATGGTGGCGGTAGGGGGCGTGGCTTCACTTTGGCGGGGTGCTGGCTGGTCGGCCTGATGTGACATTCGCGGTGGGGGGTGTTGTGTGTGTGGGGGCGCATGGGTGGTGTGCCTCTGTGGGCCTGTGGTGTGGGGTTGTAGGGATGCATTGGTGCACTAGGCTGGCTTTCCTCAGTTGCTGCTCCCTGCTGCTCTGGCCCCCGGCCTGGGGCCAACTTGCTGTTGCTGTCGGGTGGGTGGGGCACATGGACGGCGTGACAAAGGCTCTGTCGGGCTGTCTCTGTGTGCCTGTTTATGTCTCAGGTTGGGTTTTAGGTGGTCCCACCTCTTGGATCAGTTTTGACCCCCCATTTGGTGTGTCGTGCTCCCCTCCGGTGGTGCCCCCCCCTACCGCCGGTGCATTGGCAGCTCTCAGCAGCTGGGGCTGGGTGGTGGGGTGTGTGCGGGCCCACCCTGGTGGCTTCCTGCCGGGGCCTGAGTGCCCTGGCTCTGTCGGGCCTCTGTTGGGGGGTGGTATGACCTCGGGAATCGGGGCGCGGTGTCCATGGCTGGATCCACTCTGGAGTGGCGGGTTGCTGGCGGGGCCTGTGGACTCATCGCTACAGCATCCTGGGATTTCTGCATTGTAGTTACTGGGGATCGCCTGGGGCTTCCCTTTGCTTCTCTCTCTGGGGGGTGCAGGTGTCCCTGTTGGGGGACTCCCAGAGTTCCGGGCTTGGGGGCCGCTGTGTGTCTGTGGTTTCGGTCTTCCCTGTGTTACCATCGTGTCCTGTGGGGACGGGTCTGTGGGTCCCCACATCCACTATTGAACATTTTTATGGAGAAACCTTATAGTGACAAGCATGCTCACACAGGTGTTTAGATTCAGGTGTTTATCAGATACACATTCAGTTGGGTTGTGGTGGCCAATACATAAATCTTGTATTACCATGTACTGTATAAAATACTTTCTAATTATGTCATAAGTATCATTATATATGTTGTTTGTTGTTGTGGTTTCTCGGTTTTGTCTTGTTTTTTTTTTTTCTTTCCGCAGGTCTAGAGGCAGACTTCAATGATGTTGTGTTCTCTTTATCCCTCTCTCTCTCCTCTATTCCCATCTCCTTCTTTACCTTTTAACCCTTCTCTCACTTTTCTGCTTTATCTTCTTTGTTTTTCATTCCCATGTCCATTACATCTGAAACAAACCCAAAG